GAAAGACCTTAAAAGTGTGGTTTTGAGCTCTATATCCTCCAATTCTGACATTTGTGTCCTGTTTCTTTGTCTCCGCATTTTTTATGCTTTCTTGGTGCACCCCCTAGTGGTCTTTGTGCGCAGTCTTGTTGTAGTTAAGCCTTGATTGTTGTAGTTATCACTGGGAGGAATTGACCTCCAGGCCAACTGGCTGTGCGAATCAGCTGTGTCTGCAGTGGGAGAACTTCTGTCCTCTAGGGAGGTGCCAATCTAGCCTTTGCCTGAGGCTATCCGGCAAATGCCTCTGTGCAGAGCTTGGACGGGGCGGGTCCCAGGGGATCTACAGGGGGGGTGGAGCGAGCAGTTATGGCTGCTCTCAGTCAGGTCCCCAGGGGCTCTGCCTCTCAGAGTCCCAGCAACCGCTGCAAACCTTGGAGAGGAAGCTGCCTTCGAGTTCCGACCGAAGCCAGACAGTCCCGCTTCTCCCGTTTGAGTCTGGGTCCCTAGAGACTCGCCTGGATCTGAAGAAGGACACTCACACCCTGTCGGCAGGCGGGAAGGCTTCCAGGGGTTATGGTTGAACTGGGTTACAAAGGATGAATGAGCCCAGCTGGGTGTGACTCAGCGGTTGAGTGTTGACCCAGGAACCAAGAGGTTACGGGTTCGATTCCCGGTCAGGGCTTATGGCCGGGCTTGATCCCCAGTGGGGTGTGCAGGAGGCAGCCGATCGATGACTCTCTCTCATCATTGATGTTTCTGTCTCCCTCTCCCTCTCCCTTCCTCTCTGAAAAAAAAAGGATGAGTGAGATTTTGATTTGTAAGGTTTTCTGGGGGGGTGGGATACAAAGTGAGGGGGACTAAAACCTCCAAAGAAAAGAGTGAGTAGTATTTTTTGCTGAAATACACGTAACATACATCTGTTCTAAAGAAGAGGAGGTACTTGGACTGGAAGGGAGGCAGGGGCACCCTGAGAAGGTCTCGGGACAGCAGTAATGAGATTTGGGGTGGGGGGGGTGGGTAGGAAATGCCTGTGTATACGGATAGTGCTTTGTGTTCCCCAGAGTGCCATCCCACCCCTCGTCTGATTGGACGTTTCCCTGCGAGCTTGACCGAACATGTCCACGACAATAGCACCCACGAGGAGGCTCCTGCCTCATTGCACACAAAGACAGATGACACCCTCCAGAGAATCGGGGCTGGTGGGTGGGAGAGTCTTGCTCTTCAATAGACAGAGAAGGCCGAGGACAGAGCCTGCGTCCGGGCAGCCAGGAGTCCCAGTGACGCACCGACAGGCTGTGATTCATCATTTCTGTTTCCCGCACTGCTTTTGCTAACCAGTGTTTTCCCCACACCCACGGTGCATCCTTCAGACATTTTTGTTCAGAGGAGAAGCAGTAACTCTTTATTGATGAGGTGTCTCCGGAGGCCTCCTGGGACAGGCCTGGGTCTCGCCTCCTCCCCTGGCCTCCCAAGGGCTCCAGGACAGTGTGGGTAGTGCTTCTCCGCCCCAGCGGCACCTCAGAAACGTCTGGGGAGCAGTAGACAGAGCAGCAGGGCTACTACAGACAGCCTTCATCTTATAGGCAGGGAAAGGGAGGCTCGAGGCTCGCGGTGTCCGATGACTTGCTGTGGTCACACAGCCAGCAAATGGCAGGGGCAGATTGGAGCCCAGGCAGCCGGTTCTCGAGTCCAAGCTTCAAATCCTCACATTTGATCGTCCCTCCCCTGCAGGCTAAACTGCCAGAGCACTGATTTGCCAGGTGGCAACCACAGTTTTTCTCACAGCACCACTGAGATTTTAAAGGCAGCTTTTGAAATAAACAAACCAGAGTGTGGGGTGTTAGGCCTTGCCCCATGCCCTACAGGAGGGCAGATGCTTCTGACGCTCAGGTGTGGACTCCCGGGCTGTTGTCCGCCGTGTAGTTAACATGCTTGGGGAAGCTGGGACCTCATCTTCTATTCGTTTCCGTCTTCACAATGTGGGGTACCCAAAACTAATGGAATGAATGAATGGATGAAAGAATGGCAGACAGATTTGTACCCTTAGCTTGTGAGCTGTCAGCTGGCCAAGCACAGCTTCTTTCATTCCATCTGCAGTGAGTTCAAGTCTAGATACCACACAGGGCCCAGGATTGCTTTGTTTGTTTTTAGTGCAGGTATTGGGAGGGATGTCATTAAATGGAAGAGAAAAAAAGCCAGTGCTAACTGTGCTTTAGGTAAAACCCTCTCACTGCGGAGAGGCCTGTGGTCTGAGAAGGAAAAGGGCTGGGCCCTGGGGGCTGGTGGCAGGCTCCACATGATTCTTTTGATGTGACCAAGAGACTAAATTGGAATTCTTATTCTTTATTTTACAGGTCACTGCCAAGACTGCCTTCCTATTTATTTTACCTCAGTATAATGTTAGCGTGCCTACACCAGGTAAGCAAAGCACTAGTTTCTGTCTTTCTCTGGCCCTGCTAACTCTGAAGGAGTTACGTTACTCAAAGGAGTTACGTAACTTCCTTTTCCTGTGTACATATATGGTCCTTTCAGATTGTCAACCTCAGCATCCAGCATCTTAGCTCTGTCCACGATACAGCTGCAGGCCACTGTCAGCCCTCACCACGGCTCTGCAAGTGGGGCTCTCAGATCAGCACCAGAAACCAGGCACGCTCCTCTTTCCCATTGCAAAGCGCTGGGTGCCTTCTTGATGCGTAACTTCCTTTTCCTGTGTACATGTATGGTCCTTTCAGATTGTCAACCTCAGCATCCAGCATCTTAGCTCTGTCCACGATACAGCTGCAGGCCACTGTCAGCCCTCACCACGGCTCTGCAAGTGGGGCTCTCAGGTCAGCACCAGAAACCAGGCACGCTCCTCTTTCCCATTGCAAAGCGCTGGGTGCCTTCTTGATGAATAAAGAGTTTTTGTTAGCTGAGTCTAATTTTCTCCTCTCTAAATAAAAAAATAAAAAAAAAGAGTTTTTGTTAGCTGAGTCTAATTTTCTCCTCTTCACTCTGTAGTAGAGTTGAATTGTCTGGACTTTAAGGTGAGATTACTTTCTTTGCTTGGCTCCACTGATGCCTAGATGAAGGCTTTGGGGGCAAATCCTTTAACCCATGGCCTACTGAGGATGTAGCTTCAAATCTTTACTGGACTTGCCTGCCCCCTGCAGTCTCTGCAGCCAGGCCCTGGGGGAAGCCATGCTTCTGGGGCAGCCAAATTAGTTCCTTCTTATGAGAATCAACTAAGAGATGCTGGCAAGTGAGGACAAAGACTCTCTGCTCATGAGAGACAGGATACGCCATAGCCAGCCCCAGTAGACAGGGAACCAGGCAGATGCCTGCCCATCCCAAGGCGCACGCCAGCCCTGGTGGGCACAGTGGACTGTCTTGCTCAGTGCCATGCAGTCCAAGGTCAAAGTCAGGCTTCTTCCTCCTAGCTCTTGAAAATCCTAAATATCACATGATCTCACTCATTTGTGGAATATAATGAACAATATAAACTGATGAACAAAAACAGATCCAGAGACAGAGAAGCATCGATCAGACCGTCAAACCTCAGAGGGAAGGTAGGGGAGGTGGAGGGCGTAAGGGGGATAAATAAATAAATAAATAAATAAATAAATAAATAAATAAATAAAAAATCCTAGTAACTAGGACACCTCTAGATCTAGTTCAACTTATTATTTACTGATTTTTAGGTTTCTAAAAATTGTGGTGAAATACAGATAAGGTAAAATTTAACTGTCTTAACCATTTTTTAAGTGTACAGTTCAGTGGCATTAAGTTCATTCATGGTGTTTTATAGTCATCACCACCATCCATCTTTAGAACTCTTCATCTTGCAAAACCGAAACTTCGCACTTGTTAAATAATAACTCACAGTCCCCCCCAACCCCAGCAACCACCACTCTCCTTTCTGTCTCTGTGAATTTGACTATTTGAGGTATCTAATATAAGTCAGACCATATAGTATTTGTCCTTTTGTGACTGCTTAAGATTTAATTTTAAATAAACGTCTTTCCAAAATACATTTACATGATTGCTGCATGTCTTTCGGGGAAAATTTATAAAATACAGATAAACACAAGAAGGAAAAAAAATCACAGATGACCCCACCACCCAGCCAAAACTACAGTTTACATTTTAGAGTGTGGATTCATGACCTACTTCTTTTACTGTTAGCATGCGGTGACCCTTTCTTCCATGCCATTAATTGTTATTCCATTCAGTAAGATATTTTGAAAAGCTATAAAGTATTTTTTAATAGGGATTACCACAAGTTATCTATTCCATCTCATACTATTGGATATTTAAGTTTCTAGTTTTTATTGTAAACAGTGCTGTAGTAAAATTCTTGTGGCTAAATTTTTGCATGTATTCATAATTCTTTTCTTTTTTTTTCTTCATTTTTCATGATTATTTTACAAGGATCAATTCCTATTACTGGAATTTCTGGGTCAAGTAGTGTGTACATTTTAAAGGTTTTATATATGTACTAGAGGCCCGGTGCACAAAAATTTGTGCACTCGGGGGGGGGGGGGGGTTCCCCCAGCCCGCCCGGGGCCCGCAGGGCGGATCGGGAGGAGGTTGCGATACCCTCAGTCACGCTCAGGGTAGGGCTGATTGGGGGGTTGGGGCACCGCCCCCTGTCACACTCAAGGCAGGGTCGATGGGGGGGAGGCGGCGCCACCCCCTGTCACGCACAGAGCAGGGCCAATCAGGGGGTTGGGGTGCTGCCCCCTGTCAC